TCTAGGGAAAACCTCGGAAGAGAGCTAAATCCACAGCTTGAGGGTTGCGTGAGAAAATTCCTTCTAAACCGCACTGTAACGCGACGATTTAGGTTGAAGTGTGCGAGGTTGAAATCCTTGTCTATGATCTTTAGAACATAGTCCGTCATAATTAATCAAGCAATTATAAAATATTTAATATTAAAATATTTTGTAAAATTATCTCAACACCTAAACTCTTTTGACTTACACCACCCACATCCACTTTGTACCCTCAGGCATACTTTATCATATTTTATAAAAATTTAAAGTTTATCCAAAGAATTCGTATACAAGAATAAATATTTTGCATAAAACTAGTGGAAAGTAAACTAGTGTTTAGTATACAGCAGCTCTGCATACTGTTATTAGATAGATACGTACAGAGAATAATCTATTATTAGATCAAATTTAAACTGTTTGGTCTAGAACTTAGCTATTTAAATTTACGAGCTATAGTTAAACAGCTATAGTTTTAATAATACAGTTAGTGTGATAATATCTCAAAACAATTATTACAATGATAGATAAGAGAGACAAATGTAATTTTGTGTTTGTTTGTGCATTAAAACGCGGGAATTAGATTCTATACGTAGATAGAACATTGAGTCTCAAAGGTCAATTTTTTGTCAGCTAATTGTCAAATTAGTTTATGTTTTTATGTTTTTTTTTTTATTGTAATTTGTGTGCTGTAAGTAATGTAAATAAATCATCTATCTATCTATCTAGTTTACTAGTTTTTTGTCAGTGTTTTATAAACTTACGCACGTAATGTATCTTGACCTATCTATATTTAATGACTCGATTCTTAATTGGCACTGACCTTGGATAGAACACAGTTTCATATCTGCTCTCTACCCTTATGCCAATTATTATTTGTAACTGGCGTAATATGTTCTTCTCTTCCATTCTTCTTTACTCGTAGTCGTTTCCGCATTTACTCTCATTCTAGCTTTATCATCATTCACACAGCCCATTTAGGTCTTTTTAAGTCTTTCTCTGCTCTTACTCTACGCCATCCAAATTCATGTTTAATACCCATTTTAAAACATGCTCCTCATCCCTGTTCCTGCATTTTATAGTTGTACTTAAATTATATTATATATATATATATATATATATATATATATATATATATATATATATATATATATATATATATATATATATATATATATATATGACCTTATTTTCGGATATATTTCTTTGTTTGTTACAATTATCATGCAGTACAAATCAATCTGTTTAGCCATCACGTTTGAGATTTTTTTCTCGAAATTTTAGCAAACCCTAGTACGAGTACATGATGCGCATTACGTATATTGTTCTTATAAAATATCCTGGTCAGATATTAATAATATGTTCCATAAATACATACATTCAATAATAAATATTACTGTATTCCTATATATTTCTCGGCAACCTGAACTGAATCAGAGACGTTGCCTGTCGAATTATAACAAAAGTTATCAAATAAACTACCGTTCACTGTGATTGCTCTAGCCTATTAGTTGCCTCGAGCCGGGCTTTAGGGCAAATCGAATTACTAAATGCTATTAGATTGATAAGATACTTTTGTCCTATTATTTATTTACCAGACGATCTCCTCAACTTTGTGCGAGTGAAATTTTTTAGGTCATAGCCACGTTTTGGTTTCAAATATCTCCATAAAAAAAATCCTAGAGAAATTCCAAATATTTGCATCTATTCCATTAGGCTGTGAAGAAATATCCACGTTCTTACACTTTTTTTTTTATACAACTTAGAATGGCAAACAAGCTGACGGCCCACTTAATGGGACGTGGTAACCGTCGCCTATAGACATGAGCAGTACCATGGACATAACAGAGTATACTGTTTTGCCCATGATACCCCCCATGCGTTCTTCTATTCAATACTTTTTTCTAATCCAAAATACCCATATTACCTCAGAGAAACGAGATTCATGTCCACCTGAGATGCAGTAATGACTTCATTACGGATTTGCCTTGTTTTAATACTCAAAGCTATGCCAAGTCATTTCTGTATATACTGTACGTCTTCCACTTCCCAATAACTTAAAGGTCATGCCACAAGCACAATCATTAGAATCCTTTAAAGCAGATATCTATCTTTAGCTGCACGGTTTTTACCCTTGTATATTTTATATACAGTTTTTAACCTTGTATATAGTTTTCTTTAAGCTTCTCAAAGGTTGATTGTAAGAGATCCCTCTGTGAGATAAGTTCTTGTAACACTTTGATGTAGGTGCCCCATCTTTTTTTTGATAGGTGAAAATGGTATGGTAACCTCGCCTGCGCTAATGGGATACGCTGGCGGAGCACCAGTGAAGGGTGATAGATTTGAATGAAAACAGGCCAGTTAGCCCATCATGATGAATTCATCAGGAATTAACCATAATAGTTTCCAGGGAAAACCGCGAGCAGGTCGACCTGGTTGGGTATATTGCTAGCAATGGGATTCTCAGTCTCCATTACTAACAATCCCTTTCCCCCAGGTGTCCAATCTAGTAGGGAGTTGCTTTATATTGCATTTACCTGTCGTCATCATCATATCAACCACTTACTGTGTTTTGTCAGTAGTAACTAGGCTTGGCAGGTGGGTTGGCAAACACAGTTAGGCTTTGGTGATGTTTTATGTGGAACGCTGCTGCCTATCTCACAACTATTTAGTTCTCTTATTTGCCTTATACGACACTCATAAAAAATGAAGGAGTGGCCCATTCTCTGCTGGATCTATGTAGCATTTATCTATACAGGATCATAATCCCAGAGTATATCTTCCCTGTGCATTATCAAATCCTTGACTTATATATTGCATGGAGACCTGTTATTGGCAATCTATTTCTTATTATAATTTATATTTACTATTATTGTCGGAAAAGCTGTTGGTCTTCCAAATATATAAATAAATAAATTTACATATGTACACACGCACACAGGCACACGCGCACGCGCGCACGCACATACACGCACGCACGCACGCACGCTACATCTGTAGGCACTTTTGTTCTTCTGCGGATGTTTTTATTTTCAATTTTATCGTATTTGAAATTTTTCAGTGGCGCAGTCATATCAGTTAAATATTCAGTTTCACTAAATTAGAAAACGATTATTTCTATATTGATTTGGGCGTACGCGATTTTGATAGAGGCTGTTTTAGCTTGAGGACAAGTTAATTGAAGGATTGTAAGAGGTTCTTGATTAGTTATGAACTGCGTATTGTATTAAGTAAACTAATTTATATTATATAACTTTTACATTCCCAAGTAGTTTATAAAGCAGAAATTAATACTAGTATATGCACAAGATAATGAATCCATAACTTTTTTTTATACAACTTAGAATGGCAAACAAGCTGACGGCCCACCTGATGGAAAGTGGTAACCGTCGCCTATAGACATGAGCAGTACCATGGACATAACAGAGTATACTGTTACGCCCATGATACCCCCCATGCGTTGCCATTCCTGAGGACTCAGGTGTTATTCCTCTATACCCAGTAAATTCACGCCATATCCCACCCTTCAAACCGTAACACAGCCATGCAAACACAACTGCTTCACAGTAGAAACACGAATAGGACAGAGGTACTCAAGCAATCGACTTTTGTACAAAGTCTCCCTCTGGTAACTTTGACGCATATTTGTTAATTCATCATCAACATCACCATGTCAGTCTTTAGCTGTCCACTGCTGAACATAAGCCTGCCCCTTGGTGGTTTTGCTAGTACTTACCATGCTTGGCAAGCGCTTTAGCATCCGCAGTTAGGCAGTAGAGATTTAATAGGGACGTTGCTGCCCAACCCTTGCCCTTCATTAGTCGCCTCTTACGACACCCACGAGAAAAAAGGGGTGGCCTATTCTATGCCGGGACCATATGGCTACATTTGTTAATTAATTAGTACAAAAGAGACTCAACTTTAACCTTTTCTCTATACGATATTATAATTAAGTATTAACTTACGTTATGAAGGATTCTAAACCTCACTATTAGCTTTAAATGCTACTTAGAAAGGTCATAGTTTGCATGATATGCCTTTGTAACCTGTAATTTCATTGTCAAGTTGTTAATGTAAAAACAATATGCAAGCTATGTAGAAACAGCTGTTTGGTGGTAGAAATATGAACGGGACAGAGGTATCCAAGCAGATGACATTTGTACAGACTCTTTTGTAAATTGGAATTTATATTTACACAGCAATAAATTTTTTATTGTGTATATCTATACATACGATATACATATATATAATAAAACTGTAGAGGTCAAATGCATAGAGTACATAGAAAAAAAAATGCTAAAAACCAAGCCAGGGACATGTTAGAAGTGAAATAAAACACATTTAGATTTTTTTAATTTTTTGTTTCTCTGTCTGTTTGTACGGGCTAATCTCCGAAACTGTTAGACCAATTTAAATGAAATTTTGCATAGTGGTACCTTATATCCCCATTGAATATTTTGGATACTTTTAATCACGAAAAATTAAAGAGTTCCCGTAGGATAGTTAAAAAACTATAGTAACTTATACAGCTTAGTACACAACTTACTTAAGTAAAGTCATTTTGACCTAAGGCAAAGAGTGGGAATGAGACGTCATTTGTTAATTTTGGTCCAGTATTTCCAGACATAATAAATAGGTAGATACATACATCGATACATTTTTTTTTATACAACATAGAATGGCAAACAAGCTGACGGCCCACCTGATGGAAAGTGGTAACCGTCGCCTATAGACATGAGCAGTAACATGGACATAACAGAGTATACTGTTTCACCCATGATACCCCCCATGCGTTGCCATCCCTGAGGACTCAGGTGTTATTCCTCTATACCCAGTAAATTCACGCCATATCCCACCCTTCAAACCGAAACACAGCCATGCAAACACAACTGCTTCACGGTTGAAACACGAATGGGACAGAGGTAGCCAAGCAATCGACTTTTGTACAAAGTCTCCATCTGGTACAAGTAATAATAAATAAATTGTAATTTCATGTTTTTATTTAAAAATAACTACTCAAGTTAGTTCTTCTATAATTATTGTACATATATTTCCATAAGTTGTAAGAGGCTACATTTGGTAAAGAGCCCATTTTCAACTCGTCGTTTATGTACAAAAAATTTTTGTTTTCCCGATTGCTAGGTATCCATCTTACGGGCAAATCTGATTGGAAATCCGGCGTGGGGTGTCTGTAACAAAGTGTATATTATATTTTATATCATTTATTCTTGTTACATAATCACTAGATAGTATAAAACAAAGTCGCTTTCCCTCTGTCTATCCCTATGTATGCTTATATCTTTAAAACTATGCAACGGACTTTGAACTTTTTTGCGAAATTTGAACTTTGAATTATGATGCCGTTCCTTAAATAGATAGAATGATTCAAGAGGAAGGTTTATGTGTAAATAAATGCATAATATAGTAGAGAAACATTGATAATTTTAGATGTTTCTAATGTGATGTGATGTATTGTGAACCCGTGCGATGCCGGGGCGGCTATCTGGTATAAATATATATAAAAAATAAATAAATAAAATTTACCCGTATTTAGCAAAATTTGTCCACAATTTTGTAATCCAATCAACTATCTTTTTATCTCTTCGATTGACTGAAAACGGCCATATCCTTGAATTAAATAGATAAAAGAGTTCGTCAGCATGACAAGCCCCGTCATCATCTTTAAAAGTGGTACGAGACTTCAGAACATTTCTGCTTCCACTGTATTCAAAATAATAATTATATACTATTGTATTATTAGCAGCAACCATTAGATCAGTCTCTAATAAAGTCGGCATTTCAAAATAAAGGTGAGTGTACACATCAACCAATTTCATAATAGTTCCTTGATTTATACCTTTCGTACCAAAATAAAATTCCTTCACTTTCTTCGCTTCTTTGGCAGCTATATCTTCATTATCAAATTCTAAATCAGAAGCGAATAGATAATGACTGTTTTTTTTAACAAGCGTTTCTGGTGTTTCTCTTGCAACTAAGAAATAACCTTCCTTATTATTTGATCCATATATCACAGATACGTTCTTGGGTTTCTTCGATAGCAAATTATAAGGGAGATCTGTTAGAACAGGTTCTACACCTGGTAACGGTTTTTCGATACATGGTATATGTAATAATTCTGTATCAAAGTATAATCCCAATGGCTTTATAGGTTTTAGAGCTATAAGTTCTTTATATGGAAGTTTTGATAGTATGTTATATATTTCATGAGGGTCTTTTGTATCGTAGCCTAGTTCTTTGGTCAGCAGACTAGCAACCCAAACCGGGTTTTTATTTATAGCCCAATTAGTAATGGATGAACCACTTTGTACAATAGCTCTATTAAATAAACCATCTGTAGCTTCACTGGCTAGTAATATAGATGTGGAAGCTGCACCAGCGCTTTCACCAAAAATTGTTATATTATCCGGATCTCCGCCAAATGCAGCTATGTTCTTCTTTATCCATCTTAAAGCTGCTATTTGATCTTTCAGTCCAGCATTCCCGGGTGCTTCTTTAATGCCTAAACATATGAAACCAAGAGCACCAAGTCTATAATTAAATGTCACTAAAATAACATTATGTTTTACAAGAAATTCTGGTCCATATAAAAGTTTTCCGCCACTTCCAAAAATAAACGCCCCGCCATGTATGAATACCATAACTGGAAGTGGACCTTGTGCTCCGACAGGAACGTAAACGTTAGCTCGTAAGCAGTCTTCTGTTCCCATTACGCCATATTTTGTAGCCTGCGGACACGAGTATATTTCATCTACTGCTTGATAAACGCCTTTCCATGTCGGTGGAGGTAGAGGGGCCTGTAAATTAAATATACTGTAAAGTGGCTACATAGTATTTCACCACTGTGAACAATTTTTTTAGTATGCCAATACATATTATCACGTTAAATTCTATTCTAAAGAAATATTTAACATAGCAAAGGTGCCCTGGTTTATCTACTTTTATAATTTATTATACATGCTATTTCTGGATATTTTTGTCTACTCTCATTACAAGTATTAGGCAGAAGAACAATTACGTATTAACTCCTATATTACATACTCCGTGTATGATACGTGTATGATAACATACACTATCTAAATTTTATAATTAACTTTTTATCAATGTTTCTTTCCTTATCAGTATTCAACATTACAACTTACAATTAATTAGTCAAATTTACATAATACAAATGAACTTACTTGAAAACGATTTGTAATATTAACTACCGCATACGGTATGCCAATGTATTCGAAAACCGTTCCTTCTGTATTGATTTTACCGCTCAAAGTCCCTTGCTCTATGGTAACTTCCGGAGCCGGCTGTTCAATCAAGTTCATTGCAAACAATGTAAATAAAACCAATTTCTTTGCGTGCCTCATTGTAATGTTTGCATCGATGCTCAAACTCAATTCATATCTTGTATTAACTAAAAGATATCTTGTTATATGGGTAAAGATAAAGTTGTGCCATATCACAAATATTATCGTTTTACAAGTAATTATTTAACAAGTCACTTTGAGCTGTAATCAATATGTACAATATAATGATATCATTCCTTACATTTATTCGCTTATTACTATGCAGAAATACGTCGTCATTGAGAAATATTTTTTTTTTAAGTTTTATGTAAATTAGATACGAATTTAAATAAGAATTAATACACATTAATATACAGAATGACACCGAAAGAGGTACTTATTTAGATTAAGGTGGTATTTAATATCAAGAATTATGCTGTGTCACTAAGCAATTATCATTTTGCGATCAGTTTAATAAGTTATCAATTATAGAAATTATTTCTACCTAACACACTAAACACTTTGTAAGGTCAAGGTTGTTTTTAATTGAGCAGTTATTTTTTAATTGTTTAATAAGGTTAAGATTATGGCTTTAAAAGTTTAAAATTACATAACTTTTTTAAATCACACGGAAATTCTTACAAAGCAGGATTGAAATTGACAAATTAATCAAGAATTAAACATTCAGAATTTAAAATTTTGAGGTTAGTTTAAAAAAAAGAATGTTATCCCGAAAACATCGTTTCCGCATTAACGCATTTTCACAGTGAGAAATTAAACGTGCTTCTTTCATCTCTCCGTATTCCAAAATATCTTATACACTAGTATTGAACTGTATATACTCAAAGAGTATTTCACTGCAATGATCTTGTTTCTTTTCATATCGAACCGGTAAATAGAAACGACCGCAACGCAACCGGTGCGGCCTTCAACTGATTGTTAAATAACATAACTAAGGAAGTATTGTGTAACAGAGATAGCGATATAACCGCAGTATTTTCGCGTGTAGTGACGAAGTGCGTTGCGTATGATCATGTAATGTGGTTGGATAACATTGGAAACATTGACCAGCCCAAGGAAAATGCATTATTAGAAAAAAAGTAATTTTTTATACAACTTACAATGACAAACAAGCTGATGGCCTACTTGGTGGAAAGTAGTAACGGTCGTCTATAGACATGAGCAGTACCATGAAACATAATAGAGTATACTATTTCGCCCATGATACCCTTCATACGTTGCCATTCCTGAGGACTCATATGTTATTCCTCTGTACCCTGTAACTTTACGCCATATCCCATCCTTCAAACATAGCTATGCAAACACAACCGCTTCACGGTTTTTTTTTAATGGATGATAATGGAATGGTAGCCCCATCCGCGCTATCGGTATATACCGGTGGGGCACCAGTGAAGGATGATAAGTGAGGATGAAGGTCAGTTAGCCCATCGTGACGAATTCAACAAGAATTGTTCACGATGGTTTCCAGGAGGAACTACGTGGAGGTGGACCTAATAAGGCATATTGCTAGCAATGGGGCTGTCAAACTCCATTGCTATCAATCCCTATTTGCTTCACGTTTGAAACACGAAAGGGACAGAGGTACCCAAGGAAACGGCTTTTGTACAAAGTCTCTCTATAAATAACGATTAATAAATATTGGCACAAAAACATTTAGGTAAATATTCCAACCGTATAATAATACAAAAAAAAAAAAGTTCACAAAATTTAATATTATTATTTCTTTTATACTCGTATATTGAACTGCTGATATCTTTTTCCTATATTTATCATGTATATCTCCCCAAGGTTTATAAGCCTCGCTGGATTCGGCGTGGGAGCCATTCTTAATTGGTCCTCAATAAACAAAAAACTGTTTACTCTCCTGCTACTCGCTGTCCATTTGACTGGCAAATCTGAATCAAAGGCCGTTTCAGATTCCCGGAATTAACTTAAAATTCGCGAATAGAAACCACAGCAAGTTACACACAGAGACAAGATATTTTTATCCAACTGTCTGCAAAAAGTGTGATGTTTATAATTATTATTACATAATGCATTTGTGGTGCATCAGGCACGTTTGCAGAAGCCCGCGTAGATTGCTTCTATGCTGCAACGCATAAAATATGCACGTCACTAGTGCGTAAGGTGCGGAGCAGCACCAAAGTCATCCTGGATATGATTGCAAGCAGCTTGGACTGCCCTTACATTGGTCACTGTTATCTATTTCGACACTGTACTTAGAAATAGACGGACAGCAGATAAACAGACAATATTAACAATTTTTTGGTATAATTTGGTCTTATTAGGACCCCTCGTATGAATTTCTCTTAAATAGCTTCTAAGCAAATAATAAATATTTTTCTCCTAAATATTTTTATGGCAGTCTATGGGGGAGGATTATGTCCAGCAGTGGACAGATAATGGCTGAAATGATGATGATGGTTATGATCTCCTACGTACAGACATCGTTTAGTTACAAGTATTTTTATTATAGTAATACAATACTGTTGTAGAGGAATGAATTAGCCGTGTGATACCTGCATAGAATCCGGCATAGAAACCCCTTCCTTTCCCGTGGGTATCGTAAGGGTCGACTAAGAGAAGATGAGGAATGGGCAGCAGTGTCCCTCCTAAAACAACTTTATTAGCCTAACTGCGGTTGCCAATCCACCTGCTAAGCATAGCAACTACTGGCAAAACTCCCCAAGGAGACTTATGTTCAGCAGTGGACAGTTAAAGGCTGATGTAATGATAATATTAAAGGAATTATACAAAATAATAAATAAGTAGACAGTGATATATAAAGAGCAATAATGCCAAAAGAACAAATGCCTTTAAATATTATTCAAAGTCATTGTTTAAAAATGGAGGTAAAAACAAAAATATTTTTACAACGAAACAATATGACTTAGCTTATTTTTTTTTATATCACTGAGGTGGCAAATAAGTATACAGCCCTCCTGATGGTAAGCGGTTACCTTATCCTGAGTACGCCTGCAATACCAGGGCATTACGTACGCATTGTTGACCCTAAAGAAACCCGTATTTGAAGAATCCCGTGCTGTTGTCTCTTGGAAAAATCTCGACAGCTTATTCCATAACCTGAGCATTGTATTGTATTGTAAAATCTTTATTGTACACAATTCACACTGAACATACTAAAAGATTTAATATAAAATGGCGGTCTTATCTGATAAAGGGATCACTTACAGTCAATCTTTGAGAAGCTGAAAAGAAACTGTAGAATGTACAAGGGTAAAAACCTGACCATCCAGGCTCTAAGGCATGGGGTGAACTCTGTCAATGGTGAGCTGTACGATGATAGAAAGTGGCCGTGGGCAGCATATTGAAAAACTTCTGAGCACAGTCTGTAGTAAGCCTAAGCGTAAACGGTAAAACTCGCAAAATGAGGCAAAATCTTTCTTAAAACTTAAGGGATCATCCACAATTCTCATAGCTCGTCGTTGCTTGAGTCTAAGGGTTCAAGCTGGTATCTAGGTGCTCTCACCCATAAGTGATAGCAATACTCCATGTGGGGCCGGATTTGCGATTTATAGAGCATTAGGCAATAATTCTGCAATAATTATACAAAAAATTTGCGCGACATTTTCTTACACTGTATAATTATTTCATTTAATATTATAAGAGACCCGTAAAAAAATTTTTAACTATCGTTTTTGAAATCATATCAAGGTCCTTCAAAGTTTAATTAAGATGGGATTCCATATAGGTCATACGAACTGATGTCACCGGACAGGCGGGGTATTATGACATTACTCGTATGAAGGTGTTATTAAGCCATTTGGCAACGCAACACCGAAAAGCTGTTCTCAATTCCCTTTCATCAATTAAATGTAGCTTTACAAAAAGGCAATGTCAAACGAGTTGCGAATTAAAATATACATTATACCATTATCCTAATATAAAATGTAGGCTCCACTTGCGTGACCCGGTAGAAGAGCAATTTTCTCTTCTCTTCGCATGTCCGAAGTTAGTGATGTGCCGGATCGACTTCGTCTTGTATTCGAATACTCATTAAAAAAGGAATCGAGTTGAATTTGAGAATTTTTTAATGGGTGAGATTAAAATATTAATTCTACGAGAGCTATCGGCATACGCTGACAGGCCACCAGTGACAGATGGTGACGATGAAAGCAGGTGAGTTACTTCATCTGAAATATTAGTGAGAGATGATGGGTGAGGAAAGAACCGCGTGGAAGTCGACATGCGATTAATAGAGTTGTTCTTTAATGATTGATAATGGAATCATAACCCTGTCTGCGTTATCGGTATACACTGTCGAGGCACCAGTGAGGGATGATTGGTAAGGATGAAAAGGCGGGCCATCGTGACGAATTCAACGATATATTAGTTACGATGGTTTCCGGGGAGAACCACGTAGAGGTTAACCTGACAGGTATATTGATAACAATGGGGGACAAACCTTCCCATTACTAATAATCCATTCCCCCTGCTATGGAGTTGTTAGGTCCCATTGTAAGCGATCCCTTATCGAGCAATCTTTTTCCCCAGTACCTGCTAGGTATTCGAGTCAGTAATCGAGTCAGCTTGCCACGGCACATCACTAGTCCGAAGTTGAATAAATTATATGAAAAGCAAACTGGTGCTGGTGAATTTTAACCCGATCTGGCGCGTGACTCGCCCGCCGGGGGTACAGTCTGAATTTTAATTATTTTACGCTCTTTACATATTATTATAATAATTCTATTGAAGGTCACTCGTGAAAGTGTGTAATTAACTTAATGCTACCACATTATTAGTAGAATTTGTAAACAAAGTGACTTCAGTTGAGAGAAAATTAATGCTGATTGACTTAATGTACCATAGCCATCAATGTTGTCGCTGTACCGGTACGCTGCCCATCCCTCGCCCTTCCTTAGTCGCCCTTTACAAAACCCATGGTAAAAGAAGATGTGGTCTACTGTATGCCGAAGCCATACGGCCAATTCTGAATATAAAACATATAAAACACTTTGTTAGACTTTTCACTGACTGAAGGGAAAATCACAGAAAATTTTCCATAAACAAATATTACTTTTTTAATCAATTATCAATTTTACAAAGATTAAGTGGTGCATACACGATTATTTCAGGATTCACACTATTATATAACTCTTTCATTCGGACAGTGCAAAGGCAACTCCTCTCGTATTGTAGATGTTTATAGGCGACAGGAGCCGCTTTCCATCAGGTGGATCGTCTGTTTGTTTAACTTCCTGTCAATAACCAAAAAAAAAAAAAAGATTTTTGCCTGCTATTTTGTATGCATAGATTTTAGAAAGTCAATGAAATAGACTATTTCTAGTTAGCGTATCAACTTGAATCAAATTTTAAATTAGGCCTTCAAAAATACTGCTGTGTAAACTCGTATTCGTGTTGTAGTTTTTGTAAGATACCGGAACATAAATGCAAAGAGAAAGACAGACATATAAAACTTATGGTGCTCGCTTCTTTTGGTGGTAAAACTGTAACGTAATATAACTGTATATATATATATATATATATATATATATATATATATATATATATAGAAAATATACGTGACATTTGCTTATGCAGTATAAATAACTAATAATTATTACATTTAATACTTTTTTCATACAAATTAGAATGGCAAACAAGCTGACGACCCACTTGACGGAAAATGGTAATCGTCGCCTATAGATATGCCGTTTGCGATAAAGCTCTCACTTTTGACTGCCGATAAAACTTTTCCATCACAAGACTCACTTAAAAATGCGGAAGAATCTATTGAGACTGATTGGTGGTGGCCCTTGAATTGATTCGTCGGTCATTTGCATCGAAGACGGCCGCGCAGTCAGCTATTAGTTGAGTTGCTAACTAATCTCCCAGAGTGCTGAGTGCCGTGACTACTTGAAGCAACTGTGAATTATAAATTTGA